TTCTAGCTGGTCAAATCAGCTTTTGAGGCCCAGTAGTGTGTTTTTCAATTCAGTAATTATTATATTTTTCAGCTCAAGAATTTCTCTTCCGTTTCTTGTAGTTCTAGTTGTGTTGATAATCTCACTGTGTTCATATTACATTGATTTTCTGATGTCCTGAAGTCCATGTGTGCTATCTTCATTCATTTAGCGTCCTTGTGAGTCTTACTTCGAATTCTTTGCATGCTAATTCCAGAAAATCTTCATTTCTTTAGTGTCAGTTGGTGGTGATTTAATTTAGTCCTATGGGTGGGTTATGTTTCCTTTGTGTGTTGTATATGTCGTTATCTTCTGTTGGGACTTGAGCATTTCACAGATCAGGCACTTATTTCCGGTTTTCGTTTCCCTTCATTCAGGGAGGACACGCTTCATGTAGCCCGACTAGAGATTCTGGGGACCTCTCAAGACTTTTTTGAGGATGTGTCCTCTCTAGGCTTTTGCTTATAATCTAACTGAGCAGATTGTGCCATTTGAGCCATTTTCTACTCAGAAGCTCTCCTGTTGTCTGCCTGCTACTCTGCAGCCTGGCTGGTGCTCTAGCAAACGGTGGTCTGGCTCTCCCCCTAGTGTCTCACCCATGTTACTGCAGAGATTTGTTATGTTGATGGCTTTTATTTTCAATGGCTCCCCTGCCCAGGGTGTTTTTACTTTCAGTGATTATATTCACCCAGTATAGAAACTCGTCCTTCCAGTAGTGGGCTGAAAACCAGAATGTTGGATGGATGTTCCCATACTTTCCCGCCCCCTGCGAGAAACCAGGAGTTGGGAGTTTCTTCAAAATGTTGCCACATAATGCCAGGGTATTGCCTCTGGCAAGGTGTCTGAAGTGTTCCTATTAGGCATCCATTAGGGGTTCCAACCTCTTAAGTGATTTCTCAACTTCTCATGCAGACAGTTGATCTGTGTGTTGTTATCTGTGTGTGTCTCCGTGTCTGGGCTTTTCTATTCCTCTATCTTACTGATATCACCACATGAATACAGTTTTATAATTTCCTTATATAAGCCTGGAAATAGCTTGTCATGAGGTGCCATGAAACATTTGCTAGTGGAAACGTCAGATGTACCATGTGTATGTGTCTGTTTAATGAGAGCTGCTAAAGAAAGAAGGTGGTTTTCAGTATCTTGGTATTAGTTTTTATACTTAAACAGCATTGTTTTTCTAGGTTGCAATCATGTTATCTGTTAATTTTAACAAATCTAGCTCTTTACTTTCTTCCCCACTCCCTTTTTTTTTTTTTTTTTTTTAACCCTCAGTTGTTTCCTCATTATTAGACCCTGTTGAGATAGATATCCTGGGCAGTGGTGTTTGGCTGGAGCCCTGGCCAGCCCACTTTTCTCCATCTCAATTAAAGGAAATGCATCCAGTGCTTACTGGTGACCATGATATTTGGTGAGGTATTGTTGCTTAACCTTAGGAGTTTTTCCCCATATTTATTTTTTGGCCTGATTTTTAACTGTCTAATAATTATTTCAGGTACATAGTGTTGTCATACATTTTTTATAAATTTACGTCTTTTCTTTTTGTTGTTGTTTTTTTTTCTTGTTTTAAGAGACTGGGTTTCACTTTGTTGCCTAGGCTGGAGTATAGAGGCATGATCAGAGCTCACTGCAGCCTCCATCTCCTGGGCTTAAGCAGTCCTCCTGCCTCAGCCTCCCAAGTAGCTGGGACTACAGCTGCGCAGCACCACAGCTAGCTAATTTTTAATTTTTTGGTAGAGTGAGGTTCTCACTATGTTGCGTAGTGTGGGCTTGACCTCCTGGCCTTAAGCAGTCCTCCCACCTTGGCCTCCCAAAGTGCTAGGATTACAGATGTGAGCCACTGCACTGGCCTAATCTAAATTTGTTAAAGTAATGTATGATACTGATAATTTCCATTTCTCATGTAATGATTTTATTACAGAAAGAATCTATTATAATAAACTCCATTGGGCTTCTGGTAATGCCTACATATCTAAATTTAACTGCATAAAATTGAATCTATGTTTTTGAATATGTGTATTTAATAGGCATTAGAATTCAAGTTCCTACATTTTTTTATGTTGTACCATTTTTTTATTTTATTTTTCTAATTATTTCAGAATATTCCGAGGGTACAGGTGTTTTGGTTACGTGGATTGCTTTTGTACAGCTTTAGTCAAAGTTATAAGTGTGTCCGTCACTCAGATAGTGCACGTTGTATCCATTACGTGTGATTTCACCCATCCCCTTCTCCCCGCTTTGACCTGCTTGATTTCCTTTGAGTTTTACTTCCATATCTGCACTTGAGTGCTGATCTCTTAGTTCTAATGTAACAGTGAGTACATGTGGTGTTTGTTTTTTCATTCTTGCGCTGTTTGACTTAGAAGAATGGTCTCTAGTTAGTCCAGGTTGTTACAAAGTGTATTAAGTCATCTTTTTTTTTATGGCTCAGTAGTACTCTATTGTATAAATATACCCCATTTTATTAATCCACTCATGAATTAACATGCAGTTGGGTTGATTCCACCTCTTCGTGAATGTGAATTGTGCTGCAATAAACATCTGAGTGCAAGTGTCTTTTTTATATAAGGACGTTTTTTCCTTTGGGTAAATACCCAGTAGGGGAACTGATGGATCAAATGGTAAGTCTACTTTTAGTTCATTGAGGTATCTCCGTATTAATTTCCATAGAGGCTGTACTAGTTTGCAGTCTCAGGAACAGTGTATAAGTGTTCCTTTGTCTCTGCATCCACACCAACATCTATTGTTTTGGGACTTTTTGATAAAAGCCATTGTCACTGGAGTTAGGTGCTATCTCATTGTCGTTTTGATTTGCATTTCCCTGATAATTAGAGAGGTTGAGGATTTTTTCATATGTGTATTAGCCATTAGTCTATTGTCTATTTAAAAGCTCTGTTCAAGTCTTTTGCCCTCTTTTTAATGGGGTTGTTGATTTTTTTCTTGCTGGTTTGCTTGGGTTCTTTGTAATTCCTAGTGATTAGCCATTTATGAGATGGAAGCATGGAAATGTTTTCTCCCATGCTGTAGGGTATCTGTTCGCTCTATTGATTGTTTCCTTGGATGTGCAGAAGGTTTTTAATTTAATCAAGTCCCATTTATTAATTTTTGTTCTTCCTGTGATTGCAGTTGGGGTCATCTTCTAAATTCTTTGCCTAGGCCAATATCTAGAAGAGTTTTTCCAACATTTTCTTCTAGCATTCTTATACTTTCATGTCTTAGGTTTAAGTCTCTTATCCATCAGGAATTGATTTATGTGAGTGGTGAGAAGTAAGGATTCTGTTTCAGTCTTGTACATGTGGCTGTCCAATTTTCCCAGCACCATTTATGGAATAGGGATTCTTTTCCCCAATATATTATTATCTGCTTTGCCAAAGATCAGATGGCTGTATGTGGAGGGTTTTATATGTAGGTTCTCTGTTCTATTAGTTTGGTTTCTGTGGAGGGTTTTATATCTGGTTTCTCTGTTCTGTTACATTGGTCTATGTCCTTATTTTGTGCCAATAGCACGCTGTTTTGGTTACCGTAGCCTTGTAGTATAGCTTGAAGTCTGGTGAAGTGATGCCTCCTGATTTGTTCCTTTCGCTTAACATTGCTTTGGCTATTGAAGCTCTTTTCCAGTTCTATACGAAGCGTAGAAGTATTTTTTGTAGATCTGCAAAAAATGACCTTGGTATATTGATGGAGATTGTACTGAATGTGTACATCACTTTGGGTGCTATGGGCATTTTAACAATGTTGATTCTGCCAATCCATGAGCGTGATATGTTTTTCCATTTGTTTCCATCCTCTGCAGTTTCCTTCCTCAGCGATTCATAGTTCTCCTTGTAAAGATCTGTCACCTCCTTGGTTAGATATATTCCTGGATATTTCATTTTCTTTGTTGCTATTGTGAAAGGTATTGAGTCTTTGATTTCATTCTCAGCTTGATTGTTGCTGTATGGAGATACTGCTGATTGGTGTACATTGATTTGTAACCTGAGACTTTGCCGAATTTATTTATGAATTCCCGAAGTCTCTTGGCAGAATCTTTGGAGTTTTCTAGATAGAAGATCATATCGTCAGGAAAGAGTGATCGTTTGACCTCCTTTTTCCCCATTTGGACACCCTTAGGTTCCTTCTCTTGCCTGATTGCTCTGGATAGGACTTCCAGCACTCTGTTGAGTAAAAGTGGTGACAGTGGGCATCCTTGTCTTGTTCTAGTTCCAAAACACCAGCTCACAGGTAGCTCCCAAATTGTGCTCCTCTATTCACTGCAAGTCCCCAAAGGAAGAGGGGAGGGCTTTGCTCTGCGTGAAGACCTCAGCCTGAAGTGCATACCTCCCATAGAGAAGCAGCTATCGATGAGCTTCGGTTGTTTGAGGAAACTTGTTGGTCTAATTGTCATAGGAATTGCCTAAAATAGTATTAAAATGAGGCGAGAGTACTCAGCTTTGAGCCAAGGAGAAAACAGCACTGTGTGCGTCCATTTAAAAGGGTTAAGAGATTATATTAAAGGTTCCCTGTTAAAACATGGAACTACTATTATCTCATCAATACACTGCTTTGAGAACAAAGGTTTTCAACATAGTAGGCACACTAGGCTGCAGGGAAAATGATATCACCCAAGAGTTTCTTATTTATTGCTCTTTACAAATAGTATTCTTTCTGCAGTCAACATCCTTATCTAAGTTGTTATCACAATTAATGAGTGTAAGAGGCAGAACTCTATATTTCCAGTGACCAGCCCCCAGCCTGAAGCTATGTAGGGGCCTCTGGCCACCACTTATCTGATTAAAATACAAAAAGATACTGTCCAGAGATGTCAAGTGAGCTGTATGTCAGGAGGAAGTAGATGACCACATATATTAATATTTCCCAGTATCACAACATGGATCTGTCAGCCCATTTACTTCAATCCAATCTCTTTAGAGTTCTCTCCTCATATTATGTGAAGATTAGAACTCTCCTAATAGCCACTTGGTGAAATGTGTTTTTCATTTTAGGGACGGTTGACATTCAGGGATGTGGCCATAGAATTCTCTCTGGAGGAGTGGAAATGCCTGGACCCTGCTCAGAGGGCTTTATACAAGGCAGTGATGTTGGAGAACTACAGGAACCTGGTCTCCCTGGGTGAGGATAACTTTCTCTTAGAAGTCAGGATGTCCTCTTACGTATCTTTGCATTTTCTCTTGTGAGTCTCTGATTAGCCCCTGCATTGCTTGACTGAGATCAAAGCCCTGTTGATTCAGAAATGAAAAGCTTTATAATGGGGTATCTGAACTTTAACTGCCCCCTTTATTCAAATGTTCTACCCTTTCATGATATATCATTGGATGGTTCCAGAGCTTATGTATGCGTAAAACCTTGTGGCAGATGTTTAAAATATCCAAATGTCCTGAATTTTACTCCTGTGCTTTGATTTATTGGTTCTTCAAAAACAACTAAATGTCTCCATGTTACAGTATTCCCTAAGCATTCAAAAGGAGGCATTCAGAGGATGGATTTCTAATATATATTTATACACCATCTGGAAAATGCTTTCTCCTTACCTAAACATAGGGCTGGGATTCTCGAAAAGCCATGGTACCTTATATTCCTTTCTTTCTAAAAGCAGGAATTTCTCCTTTTGACCTGAGGATTATCTCCTTGTTGGAGCAAGGGAAAGAGCCCTGGACTGTGGAGAGCCAGGTGCAAATAGCAAGAAAATCAGATGGGTGGAAACGGATCAAAGGTGCGATCACAGGTGAGTGCTCAGATGGATAGAAAGCTGCTCACTAAATAGTGTTTGGGAAACTCTATGCAAATGTAAGTATTCTACAGGAAAACAAATTTTATGTCCTGTGAGCTCTGAAAGGACATTTTTCTTTTCCTTCACTTCTCACTGTTCCTCAGGTATGTAACACTTTATCCTTGTACCCTCCAGTGGTGCTTCAGCTCAAACAGAAACAGATGGAAAGTCCTCATCATGGTGGACAACACTGTGTTATCTGACTTCATGAACTCTTTTGTTGTTGACACTGAGCAGCACAGGAAAGGCTGTTTCAGAAGGGTTGCTTTCCCCCTTCATCTTTCCTTCTGCAGTTGATTCCATCTGATGCTAAGTTCTCAGTCCATGTTGATCAGAGCTGAGGCCGTCATAGTCCTGATGACTGGACCTCTCCATGTTCCATCCCATTTCATGTGCTTGGAAGACTCAGTCAGGACATGGGAAACATTGTCTGGTCTTCCTTCGCATCTGGGTCTCCAGAAACTTCCTGGAGCTTTCTGAAGCGCTTTCTGCCTGGTGAGATCCCTCAGCCATTTTTGCCACACTTCACGGGTGTGTATGACAAGGGAGTGAATTGGATCTTCTGAAAATTTCACTCAGCAGGAAAAAAAGTCAATAGAAACATCCTCTCTTTGATTTCCAGTCCTCCGTGGGTACAGATCCTATTCTTTCAGTCTCTTTGTGTTGTCTTTGTTGGCAGAACATGGAGTCCAATCTCAAGATGCCACAAAATCTGATGCCCATGCATTGTATTTTTCTCTTTTCCGCTGCTGTTACTACTCAGTGAATGTAGGGAGCCTTGGCTCTGCCTGATTTTGTACTCTCTTAGTGTGTATGATTTTCTTTCTGAAACTGGCTTTTAACATACACGTTCCTGTAGAAGTCAGGATCTGCCCTCGTGTATCTTTGCAGTTTCTCTTGTGCGTCTCTTGTTAACCCTGCATTGCTTGACTGAGATGATAGCCTCAGGGCTGACTTGTTGGGATAATCCACCTTTAGGTTATACATAACTTCTTGTGGAGTATCCCATGGAGTGGGTTTACTGCATAACATGAAATTGATGAAGGAGAACACTTTAACTAATGTGATCGAATATTATCCTGCTGCATGCGAAGATGCACTTTGAAGCCACTGAGTAGAACTGGCCCATAATCCTGAGATAAAAGGCATCAGGAGAGCCTGACTGACAAGTATTTCCTATTGTTTGTCTAGTTTTTTAGAAGCATCACAAAAGTGTCACTGTGACAATGCTGATCACATATAGTAATGATCACCTCCCTGGATCCAGCAGTTAATCTTGTAGGAATTGCCTCCAGGGAAAACATTGTTTAAGGCCACTGCCTCATGTGTAAACTGTTGTTCATGTCACATTTTTCATCCCCCGTATGTGTCACTATTCATTTTCACCAAAAGAAACTTTGTAATTTTGTCATTGGTTCATACCTGTAACAGACATGATTTGAATACATCTTCTTCAGGGAGCTTATGAAGGTAAATGATGTCTCCATATTTTAATTCTACCATAGTTTGTTTAAGCCAGTGCAGCTTCCGTCTTGTATAGTTTTATGTGTTATAAATGAACTTTTTAAAAATTTATTTAATCAGCAGTTCATATATTGAAGGCAATTTTGATCATAAAGAACAAACTTAGAGTTATCATACTACCTGATTTCAAACTATATTACGAAAGTATAGTAATTAAAACAGGATTGTAGTAGCCTAAAAATAGACACATTGATTAGTGAAGCAGAATAGAGAAATGAGCCAATCCATATGTGGTCAATTGATTTTTGACCAAGGTGTCAAGAACACACAAGGGAAAAAGGGCAGTGTCTCAGTTCATAATGCTGCAAAAATGATTCCACATGCAGAAGAATGAAACTGGACCCTTTTCTCACATCATATACAAGGGCTGTCCAGAAAGTATCTAGCCACGTAATATAAAAAATAGTATTAACAATAGCTGGGTACTTTCCTACAGCCCTTGTATAAAAATCAACTACTAGAAGAAATCACAGGGAAAAACCTACATGACATTGGTCTGAGCAATCATTTTTTTTTTAGCTTTGACCCCAAAAGCTCAGGCAAGACAACCAAATATAGACAAATGGGATTGTACCAAACAAAAGTGTTTCTTCACAGTAAAGGAAACAATTAAGAGAAACTTTTCATCGTGAGAAAATATTTGTAGGCCGTACATGTGGTAGGAAATTAATATCCAAAATGTGTATGACACTGAAGCAACTCAATGACATGAAAAGAAATAGACCAATTAAAAAATGGTCTAAGGGCCGGGCATGGTGGCTCAGTCCTGTATCGTAGCACTCTGGGAGGCCGAGGCAGGCAGATTGTTTGAGCTCAGGAGTTCAAAACCAGCCTGAGCAAGAGCGAGACCCTGTCTCTACTAAAAAATAGAAAGAAATCAATCGGACAACTAAAAATACATAGAAAAAATTAGCTGGGCATGGTGGCGCATGCCTGTAGTCCCAGCTACTCGGGAGGCTGAGGCAGACGGATCGCTTGAGCCCAGGAGTTTGAGGTTGCTATGAGCTAGGATTATGCCACAGCACTCACTGTAGCCTGGGCAACACAGTGAGACTCTGTCTCAAAAGAAAAAAGAAATGGTCTAAGGACCTCAGCAGACAGTTTTTGAAAGAAGACATGCGTATGAACAATAGATATATTAAAAAGACTCCACATCAGTAATCATTATGAAAATACAAATTTAAACCTCAATTAACACTGCACACCTGTCATAATGGCTATTGCTGAGAAGTGTTCGTGAGGATACGGAGAAGAGGAAACACTTCTCTACTGTTGGTGGGAATGCAAATTAGTATAGGCATTATGGAAAACTATATGGAGTTTCCTCTAAAAACTAAAAATGGTATTACTGTGTGATCCAACAATTTCACTTCTGGGTATAAATCCAAAGAATTTGGAATCCGTACGTCTAAGATATCTGCACTTCATGTTTATTGTGGCATTATTCACACAGCCAAGTTGTATAGTGAGACTAAGTGTCCATTAGCAGATGAATAGATACAGAAAATGTGCTGTACACTATAGAGTGGAATAATACTCAGCCTTCAAAAGAAGGCTTCTTACATGTGGATCAACAGGGAGGCCATTTTGCTAACTGAAGGAACCAGGCACAGAAATAGAAGTATTGGATGTTTTCATTTATATGTGGAATGCAATTGGAGTAGAGTGTTGGTTATCGGAGGCTGGAGGATGAGGAATAGGTTGGTCAATGGGTACAAAGTTTCAGTTCAACAGGAAGAGTAAATGATAAGTTTTAGTGGTGATGGATACAGTTTATAAGCTTGATTCCATCATTCCACATTATATAGGTATATCACGATATTACTTTGTTCCCTACAAATATATACAATTATAATTTGTTGATATATAATAAAAATTTTAAAAACTCGTATTCCAGGTCTTATACTGTGTACTGGTTCTAAAATGGATGTCCTTGCTTTTTTGTTAAGAGAAAATTGTTCCTGTTTCCACAGACTATAGGTTTTTATAGATGTGGTTATTAATTCTTTGCTTGTTTTATAATGGGTTACTAGGATGTTTTACTAATTACTTTTTGTTACGATTTATAGATGATAGTTTCTAAGTATGTGTTATGCAGTATAACTTGTTTCCCTTTCAATTGTGAGATAGCTGTACGTTTTTTGTCAGTTGGTGTATATCTTGGGGTCACTTCTATGAAGGCTAATGTAGGTTTGCTCGTTGTGTTTTAGTTATAGGTGGTTTGAAACTAGACTTCCACAATATGAATTTGGACCACATGTAATCACCTTTTCTTTATTAAACAATACTGTTGCTTTTGTGTTCCTAAAAATTGAATTTTATCTTTGTGAAGTTTGATAAGTATGTTTATATCAGTATTCCTTTTGGTGTAATATTAATTTTATCAATGTTAAATGTTTGTTTACATGCTGTACTTAATCGGAAACTTATGGTTCTTTATATCTTGTAGATCTCTCTCCTGAATTTGTAATAAAAAATGTACGACCAAAAGGGAAGACCAATGCAGAAGTATTCCAAACAGTGACATTGGAAAGGCCTGAAAGCCATGACATTGAAGACTTTTTCTTTAGGGAAGTCCAGAAGAATATACATGACTCTGAGTGTCAATGGGGAGATGATGAAAGAAGTTACAAAGCAGAGCTTATGACCCAGAAAGAAAATCTCACTGGTAGAAGAGATCAACATGATGGAAGGGAGGCAGGAAACAAACTTACTAAAAATCAGTGTGGAGTAATCTTTAAGTCACACGTGCCTCAACGGAAGCTACTTCAAAGTAAAAGGAAAGTTGACGAATGTAATCAAATCAAGTCTATCAACCATGGTTCCTCCGTTTCACCACTTCTAGAAATCCCTTCTAGTGTCAAAACCCACATTTCTAAAAAAGATGAGAATGATTTCATCTTTTCTTCATCACTCACAGAAGGACAAAAAGTAAACAGTGATGGCAAACCTTACAAATGTACTGAACGTGGCAAGGTGTTCACTGAAAATTTACGTCTTGCATGTCATCAGAGAATTCATACTGGAAAGAAACCTTACAAATGTAATGAGTGTGGCAAGGTCTTCATTCGAAATGCATGGCTTGCACGTCACAGCAGAACGCATACTGGAGAAAAACCTTACAAATGTAATGAATGTGGCAAGGCCTTCAATCGAAATGCAAACCTTGCATGTCACAGGAGAAGTCATACCGGAGAGAAACCTTACAAGTGCAATGAGTGTGGCAAAGCCTTTAGTGTACATTCAAGACTAACTATCCATCAGGCAATCCATACTGGAGAGAAACCTTACAAATGTAATGAGTGTGGCAAGGTCTTCACTCGAAATACATGCCTTACACGTCACAGCAGAACACATACTGGAGAAAAACCTTTTAAATGTACTGAATGTGGCAAGGCCTTCGATCGAAATGCAAACCTTGCACGTCACAGGAGAAGTCATACTGGAGAGAAACCTTACCAGTGTAATGAGTGTGGCAAAGCCTTTAGTGTACGTTCAAGACTAACTATCCATCAGACAATCCGTACTGGACAGAAACCTTACAAATGTAATGAGTGTGGCAAGGTCTTCACTCAAATTGCATGCCTTACACATCACAGGAGAACGCATCCTGGAGGAAAACCTTACAAATGTGATGAGTGTGGCAAGGCCTTCGATCGACCTTCACATCTTGAATGTCACCGGAGAAAGCATACTGGAGAGAAACCTTACAAATGTTACGAATGTGGGAAGGTCTTCAAGTATAGGTGCTCTGTTGCATACCATCGAAGACTTCATGCTGGTGAGAAACCTTACAAGTGTTATGAGTGTGGCAAAGCCTTTAGTGGTCGTTCAATCCTAACTAGTCATCAGATAATCCATCATGGAGAGAAACTTTACAAATGTAATGAATGCGGCAAGGTCTTCCCTCGAAATGCATACCTTCAACTTCACAAGAGAAGTCATACTGGAGAAAAACCTTACCAGTGTAATGAGTGCGGCAAAGGCTTTAGTGCACGTTCAGGGCTAACTTTCCATCAGGCAATCCATACTGGAGAGAAACCTTACAAATGTAGTGAGTGTGGCAAGGTCTTCGCTCAAAATAAATACCTTGCACGTCATAGGAGAAGGCATACTGGAGAAAACCTTTATAGATGTAATGAGTGTGGCAAGGCCTTCACTCAAAGTTGGCACTTTCTTAGGCATCAAAGTATTCACGATGGAGAGAAACCTTACAGGTGTGATGAGTGTGGCAAAGCCTTTAGTCTTCATTCAAGCCTAACTACCCATCAGATGATCCATACTGGAGAGAAACCTTACACATGTAATGAGTGTGGCAAGTCCTTCACTCAACATTCACAGCTTGCGTGTCACCGGAGAATGCACACTGGAGAAAACCTTTACAGATGTAATGAGTGTGGCAAGGCGTTCACTCGTAATGCATGCCTTGCGCGTCACAGCAGTATGCATACTGGAGAAAAACCTTACAGATGTAATGAGTGTGGCAAGGCCTTTAGTCAAAATTGGCACCTTGGTAGGCATCAAAGTATTCACAATGGAGAGAAACCTTACAAGTGTTTTGAGTGTGGCAAAGCCTTCACTAAAAATGCATACCTTGCACGTCACAGGAGAAGGCATACTGGAGAATGACCTAACAGATGTAAATCAGTGTGGCAAGGCCTTCGCTCAACAGTCACAGCTTGTTAGTCATCAAAGTTTTCACAGTGGAGAGAAACCTTAGAAGTGTATTGAGTGCAGGAAAGCCTTTAGACTGCATTCATTCTTAAGTGTGCATTAGGCAGTCCATACTGTTGGAAATAGAGTTAAGAGACATGGAAAGTTTCAGAAGTTTTGCAGGGCTTTGCGTTGAAAGAATCTGTGGATGTATTAGTTCACAAACCAGAAGCTGCTTAGCATTAAGGGGGCCATTCCACCGATCAGGGGCGACTGAAAGGCGTCACCAATCTCGAGACCTGCATGCCAGTGCCTGGACCTTGTGCAAGGCAGAGTTCAGCATGGGGCCCAAGGTTAAGAGATCTGAAAGGGGATGTCAGCCCAGCAGACAACCTACAGTTGGAACTATCATAAACTTCAAGGCTACTCCTGTTCACTCCTGACCACATGTCTCGTTATATAGAGAAATAGATTAGAGAAGTATGCAGACTCAGTGTTCCTGTTTCATGCATTACTGCTTAATTAACAATTTTATCTTTAACTTGTATACTGAGCCAGGTCTATTCTTAACTTAGGGCTTAAAATGTTTATCTTGGAAAAATTTTGTTACCATTTACTCTTGTAGATAGAATTGTAAGGGATCTCTTGAAGCCTTTGGGAGGCCTTGAAACCTAAACGAATAATCTGTACACATAATTCTATGACCAAGGACAACTGCTTGCCTTACCAGTTAATACTGATGTGGACTTCACTCTGTGCATCCTGGCTCACGGGAATGCTGGAGGACCCCTGACTTCCCCATGACTTTAAACTACACTTTGTCTCTATTTCTGTTATTTCCAAATCTTTTGTGACGATCCTGCCTGGGACCCGTTTGTTGGGAGAGTAGCTAACTCCTGGCACCATACTAGAGAAAAACCTTACAAATGTAATGAGCGTGTCAAGGTCTTCACTCGAAATACACACAATTCCAGTCATCAATGAATTCATAATAGAAACATTACAAGTGTAATGAATATGGGAAAGCCTTTAGATTGCGTTCAGGAGTAACTACACATCAGGCAATCCATACCGGAGTAAAACCTTACAAATGGAATGAGTGTGGCAAGGTTTTCACTCAGCGTTCACAACTTGAAAATCATCAAAGAATTCATACTGGCGAGAAACCTTACAGATGTAATGACTGTGGCAAGCTCTTCAGTGAACGATCAAAGCTTGCAAGGCATCACAGAATTCATACTTGAAAGAAGCCACACAAATAGTGTGGCAAGGTCTTCAGTCACAATTCACTCCTTGAATGGCAGTAGAGAATTCATTGTCAAGAGAATCCTTACAAATGCAGACTATGGCCTACCCCTCATGAGTTCAACCATTAACATTGGAGACCCCACACTAAAGAACAATTATATAATTGTATGTGGAAGAGGCTTTATTCGTGCCTCACAACCAACTGGGCATCAAAATACACATCTTTGATGAAAGCACACAAATGTAAAGTGTTAAGTTGAGGCTGTTACCCAGGAGCCATAAATGTAGGTGAGGATTTGTATGAGAAATGACTCAGTCTCTAATTCTCCATGATTAACCTTTGATATTACATACTGTAAAATAATTCTAAATCCAAATATGTTATAACTTACGGCATTATATACATCAAAGGTGCCAGGACGTGCAGATGGCCAATTACCTTAAAGTTACAAAATATTTTATTCATTTATTTGAGGATTCTTGAAAAGGCTACTTTACTATTCATAGTGTTCAACTTGAACTTTGAAATCTTAACTATTATACCCTTTTTGCAAGCCTTTCATCGTGGTCTGTGGGAAAGAGTCCATTGCATGGCAGGTCCTGCTTTAAGGGTGAGGATCACTTCCATCCACGTTCCTGTAAAAGAAGGATGCTGCCTTTGAATATTAAATACCATCTAAATTAGCATTTGGGAGGGACAGAGAATAACGTAAAAGTATGATGTCACTCATCTTGCTCATTGTGTTCAAGGTTCTCTTCTCCTGACATAAGGGCACTGTAGGTTAAGGGAGACAGCTTAATCAAGTGACCATAATGTAGAGCAGATCAACAAATTGGCTACTCAGGTGGCCGACTTACAACAAGCAGTCACTTTACTGGGAGACCAGGTTGTAAGCCTACGAAAGCAAATTAGACTCCGTTGCAATTGGAGTATCACTCAATTTTGTGTTACACCTCACATATATAATCAGACTTGGTTTCCTTTGCAATTCATTAAGAAGCATCTACTTAATCAAGGAAATCTGATTGAAGAGATTGGAAATTTACAACAAGAAATATTAAGTACCTTCAGTCACAAACTTGATCTACTCTCTAAGGCTGACATTGTTAATGGTATTACATCTGGGATGGAGTCAGCTAACCCACTTTCTCATCTTAAGATCTATGGGAGTTCTGCTGTAGTAACTTTGGGAATTATTTTAGTCATTTGCTTGTGCTTACTTATAGTCTGGAGAAAACTCCAAAGAAGACAAGACTCTGGAGACCAATGCTTCCCAGTGATGGCTATCCAACTTCATCAACTTCTAAAAAAGGGGGGGGAGATGTTAGGAAATGGGGTTAAGAGACATGGACATTTTCAGGAGTTTTGCAGGACTTTTGTCTTGAAGAAATCTGTGGGCGTGTTAGCTCACAGACCAGAAGCTGTTTAGCAACAAGAGAGACGTTTCACTGATCAGGGGCGACTGCAAGGTGTCTCCAGTCTCAAGGCCTGCCAGCCAGCACCTGGAGCTTATGCAAGGCAGAGCGTGGCATGGGACCAAAGGTTAAGAGGCTGATCAAGGGATGTCCACCCAGCGGACACCTGCAGCGAAAACCAATTAGCCTCAAGGACAGTTCCTGTTTCACTCCTGACCACATGTCTCGTTATATAGAGAAATAGGTATGCAGCCTCAGTGTTCCTGTTTTATGTGTTACTGCTTAATTAATGATGTTATCTTTAACTTGTATGCTCTGCTAGATCTATTCCTTAATTAGGGCTTAAAATGTTTATCTTGAAAAAATTTTGTAACCATTTGCTCTCGTAGGTAGAATTAGGTAAGGGATCTCTTGAAGCCTTTATGGACCCTTAAAACCAAAACGAATGATCTGTGCACATAAATCTGTAACCAATGACAACTAATTGCTGTACCAATAAATACTGATGCGTGACTTCACTTGGTGCCTACTGGCTCACGGGAATGCTGGAGGACCCCTGACTTCCCTATCACTTTAAACTACATTTTGTCTGTGTCTCTGTTATTTCTAAATCTCTTGCAAGGATCCTGCCTGTGACCCGTTTTGTTGGCAGAGTTGTGAACTCCCAGCACCTCTCCTGAGATTAGTGCCACCCACAGCATCCTTATCCTGGTCAGCACTTTTGTCTCTTTTACTTTTATTTTTATTTTTTTGATAAGACTGCTCAGTGGCTGGTGAAGACATCTGCCTTAATCAGTGCATGTTTCCCAACTCTCAGTCCCTTTATTCTCTCAACTAGTGATCCTTGTGTATGCAAGCTCTTCTTTGTGTGCACTGGAAGAAATCTGCAATTTCCTCATCTAATCAGAAAAATATAAATTGTGTATTTTTCACTGTGTTCACAGATTGATATACTCATGCTTCCCGGATTCTTAAGCACATCTGTAAGCCAGTCTCACTACACATAGAGTTCTGAGTTACACAGACACTTTGCTCTAATATTAAATAAAAAATAATAGCTATAGTAACTGAAATCTTATATAATTTTTGTAAGTACTCTTATAATTGTATTTAATAAGAGTCATTGTGGAGAAAATCAGAGTCCACTAAGTAATTCCTGAAATAATGTAGAGATACTGAAAATGTCTTTTAGTTTGTATGTTTTAATATAATACATTAAACTTTCCTATGATTTAACTGTACCCAGGGTCTTAAGGATGGTTCAATAAAAATAACATAGCATTTCATATCACCCTTCAGAAAATTGAGGTGGAATGTATAGTCGCCTGGAGGTGAAGCTAGAAGGAAAATTGTTTCATTTATTACAAACATTTGAGGCCATGTTGTTAATATGAAATATACCTTACATCCTAGGAGAAATATGATAATTTCAGATGTGATAATGCTTATGGAGAAAGATTAGCATATTAAAATATTTTCAGTTAAACACTGAAATAGTGAACTCTAGGAGACAAAGGAAAACAAAAAACATGTCAGTTCATGTTTAAAAACAGTACAGGTAGGAATCCAGCATTAGCAAGAGCAAGACCCCTTCTCTACTAAAAATAGAAAAAATTAGCTGGGTGTTGTGGCAACGTGCCTGTAGTGCCAGCTACTCAGGAGGCTGGGGCAAGAGGTTTGCTTGAGCCCAGTAGTTCTGAGGTTGCAGTGAGCTACGATGATGCCACTGCACTCTACCCAGGGTGACAGAATGTGACTCTATGTCTCAAAAAAAAGTTACATTTCATTACCACAATAAATGTTAAGAGTTTTAAACAGTTAAAATTTTACAAATTTTTTTCTTTTCTACATTACAGTGGCAACAGTATTAATGTCTTAAATTTTCAATATTTGAACTTTTTAAAATTCTGACATTGAGATAATAATTGTGGAAGTATTTGAAATTTTAATGAATGTATAATTGGCATATCATGGAAAGTAAGTCAGAAAGCATCAATTCTTAAAAGTTATGCCCAGAAATTGTGTAAAGCAGGTGAACATACTGGTTAGAAAATATTCAATATAATATTGTATTAAATTCTTAAATTCTAAAAGTGAATTTTAGTAAAATTTTAAAGTTAAAAAAAAAAAATTCCCTAAACCCTCCTCTGCTCTCCAGTATCATAGCACTGTAGGAGGGTACAACCGTCTCATTAGGAATTTTCTCCATGTTTTGGAGCCCCTGCTGAAGCTGTAGGGAAAATGCTCCTGTATGGGCTTCGTGTTGGAGCTTGGATGAATAATGAAAGCACCTTCTTTGATAATAACTAGAATGTAGTAACCTGGAACATGAGGAAAAAAAACCGTTCAATTTTAGCTTTAAAACGTTGGAAAGAAAAATTCTAGGAGGTGGCACTG